CCCCTGGGCAGAAGCCGGGAGGTGGCTCTGCATGCTCCCCGCCATTCCTGGACAATGGGAGCTGCAGAGTCATTGCTCGGGGATGGGGCAATGTGTGGAGCTGCAGGGATGTGCCAGCCACTTCCGGGAGCAGTTCACGGACAGGGCAGGCGGGGAGCTTGCCTTAGCCCTGCTGCGTGGCTGAATTTTTAGTGGCCAATCTGGTTTGGCTCCGGGAGATGGAGCTCGATTCTGGGAAGCTCCCGGACAAACTGAGAGGCTGGGCAGCCCTAAGGGTTGGGGGTGGCCCTGCCCAGCGAGGCGGGGCAAGGCGGTGTCTGGGCCTCATGCTGGACTCTGCTCAGGGGTCCATGCCACTCGAGAACTGTCCTGTGTGTGTGGTGAGTCAGGCAAGGGGATGTGGGCCGTGCTGAGGCTTTTCTCCCGTTTCCCTCCCTCCCCAGACTCGGAAGGCGTTTTCCATGACATGGACAGCGACAGCATCAGCCACTTGGGAGACTGCCTGCTGTCAAGCGGGGAAGCCAACCTCCTGCAAGCCCGTGTGGGGAACCCCATCGACCGGCTCTACTCCATGCAGAGCTCCTACTTCACCTCCTGACCGTGGACAAAGCCCCGGTTCATTGGGACGCGCCTGGACAGTCTCTGCTCTGAATTCACAATGAGCAGCAGGGAGGAAAAACCCTCCCAAGAAGTTCTTTGAACCCTGCGCAATGACGGGGGGCTGGGTTTGCCACACACAGAAGTACTAATTCAGGAGGACCTTCCACACCTGAGAACTCCACTGCCCTGCCTCGCCCTCCTTTCCTCTCGCCACCGCCACGCAGGTGGTAGGATGTCGTTTAGTTGTTTGTCCCGTGTCCCGTCTTCAAATGAGACTGGCTCAGCTGCCCAGAGTCAGGCTTGGAAGCAGCATCGCCTCTGTCGGTTGCAGTTACTTAAACCTCGGTGCAACCCATTCAGTGGTGGTGCCTGTGTCCTGCCTCCACCTGGCCTGCATCCTTTTCCTTGGGGACAGTCACCGACTGAGGATGCCCCTGCCTGAGATTCCTGCCACTTTGGAGGCTGCCTCAAGGGGGCTGATTTAGGCTTTTTAAAGGCTGACACCATGGAGAAATGCCAGAGTGGATGGTCCCTGGGGGCCAGGGCTTTGCTTGGGTATTTGCCCCTAGGAACAAAAGATTTGTTGGTCTTTGTTATGATGTGAGGAAGCCAAGAACACATCCCGAAGAGAGAGACGCATCTAGAACGCCTAGCAGCCCCTCCCGGCTCCCTCTCGGAGGAGGCCCACTCCCTCGGTTCCAAGTAGAAGGAAGATCTCGCTCTCGCAGCCGTCGCGCTGCCGATGCTGTCTGCACAGGCGGCTGTTTGTTTCTTTTAAACAAATGGTGTGAACAGAAATTATTTCCAAAAGTTCTTACCGGCTTTCCCCCCCCCTCCCCCGCCTGGGGTTCCATCTCCAGTGGGATTCCCCTCCCTCACTGTCCACCCAGGTCACGGCCCAGCATTAAGCTCCCCTCGCGAGTGAGAAGAGGAAAGTGTTCAGTGAGTTTCTGGGAACGTGCCCTGCGCCGAGCCTCTTCCACGCCCAGGGGCTGAGTTCCTTCGTGGCGCTGAAGGCAATAGCTACAACGCCCAGATTCTGCTGCGCGACAGAGAATTTCTTCTGTGGACGGGAAGGAGCAACATGTTTTTCCAAGCAGGGACGTCTGGCAAGCTCTCGGTGCAGGGCTGGGGATCAGGAGGCAGGTTCAGGGTTATAGCACCGACGGTTTATAAAAGATGCAGCGGACAGCAGCGGGAGAGAGTGAGTGGAAGTTTAAATCAGAGATTTAAGGTGAAAATTCTTTACTCACTCGCCCAGTATTTCATGTTTCCAATGCTACACCGGCAGAAATGGCCCATGGTTCCCTGTCAGTCCCCTTTTGCCCAGGCTGGTGGATGAAGAGCCTCCCGAATCTGCCTTCCTTCAGTTGTTCAAACACTCCCTGAGAAGAGGATGTCGCCAATGGAAAGTGATAGCTTGGATGTTTAAACCCTGAGCCCTAGCATTGCAAATCCAGCAGAGAACCTGGCTCTCTGAAGTTTCTGGATGTCGTGTTGATTTTGGTTCTAAGTTCCTCTGCCTTCTCCGTCTGGTTCCAAAGTTAGGCAAACCCTTCTCAAAAGGAGAGGCAGGAAAGGCTACATAGTTAGTATTGCTGTATTGCCTGGGGGTGGGGCATTTGTGAACATTAATACTCATGAGCTTTGAGAGCACAGGAGACCCATTCCCAACATGTATTGACCTCTGTCAGGAGCTCCCCATCTAGTCAAGGGACTGGGCACATAACTGAACTAAAACCTGCCTAAAACTCACACCATCATTGCTTCCCCCGCTAATACAGGCGTATAAATGTGCCATTCACCCACTGGCAGGCCCTTTCCCCTTTGTTTACGAGACTTTACTTTTTATCTGTATTCTCCCTCCATCATCACAGCAGTATTGGATAATTTTTTACGTTCAGGCAGTTGTGTAAATAGTTTACAGACATTTTGATGTTTCATTTAAGGGGACCTGGCAATTTGTGAGTTACCTCCAGCCACACAGGCAAGTTCTATGGAAGCAGGGTTTCTCTGCTCCTTCCAGACGGAGTTGCTGCGCTCAGTCCATCTCCACCTGTTGCATGTCCATCCGCCCATAAGAAATGAGATGCTAATTCCCAGCTTTCTTTCTTTCTTTCTTTCTTTCTTTCTTTCTTTCTTTCTTTCTTTCTTTCTTTCTTTCTTTCTTTCTTTCTTTCTTTCTTTCTTTCTTTCTGTGGCTTTTGCACTAGAAATGGTCTCAGTTTAGATTAAGTTTTACGAGAATGTTTCAGTGAATCACGTGCAAATTGATGTTTCCTCCAAGTGCTGGAGGCAGCTTCACCTCTGCAATCCTACCCTTGCTCCCATTGTGATCCAGTGCTGTAACGTGCCAGTGTTTTTGCATGTACATTTGGAAATAAAAACAAACTTAAAGCTGGTGTCTAAAGCTTGCCTCAGAACAGACAAACTCCCCGTCACTCTGCTTAGCTCAGCTCCAGGTAGGCCTATCCATCGAGCTACTCTCTGTGCAAGCCCATAGGCATTTGGCCTGAGTTCTTCAGGGGGACATTAAATCAGAACCTCATCTTTTCCAGGGACCAGACTTCCTGGGGCTAGACACAAGGAACTAGGACTAACAGCTATTCTTACTTTATAAAGAACCAGCAAACACAACACCAAGAACCAGTTCTCGTTAGCTGGAAACTGAGTGCCCCATATGAACAAACAAGACATTTACAAATCATATCCCTGGCCTCTGTTTCTCTGCAGGTGGGTGACAGGAGGGTGATGACAGGAGGATCCCTTCCTCTGGGGCATCTGGCCCCTGTGGGCAGACAGGATGCTGGGCTGGATGGACCATTGGTCTGACCCTGTCTGGAGTGCCTGGCGGAGCCCATGCTCAGAGTGCCTTGCAAGAACGCAGGACTCCACTCTGACATAGTCTGAACTTGCGCTGAACAGAGATGCTAGCGTGTACCCCAGGGACCGCTTCACCAGTGAGTGTTAATGGTGTCAGTTACACTCCGGCTCCCAGGCAGGAAGCTTCGCTGTGCCAGAGCAGTGAAGCCTCCTCCCTGGGAGCTGGGGAGGGGGGCAAAGACTGGTGGCCCTGCTCCCGGGGATGCTTTGCTTCGGCTCTGCAGTATAAATCTTATTTTAAGCTTTATACTGCAGTGCCCATAGGGTGCAACCACTGAGATTTTCCCATTTAACCGAATTTGAACATCCCTAGTGCTGAATCATGAAGTGGTTAGTCAGCCTGTGGGCACCAAGCCAGTCTGAAGAACTAGCACATTTGCCGAGCAAAGTCCAGCTGCTTCTCTGGTCTCAGCACCATTCTAACGGTCCTCCGCACTGCTCCTCTGGTGCCCAGGGTCTGCAGGGTGTCTGGGCTTTGGAGCAGACAGTGGCTGGCTGACATGATTGCAGGTGGGCAGCAGCTGTTGTAAATGCAAAGGGGCAGGAGGAGTAAGATCCCAGGATATGCGGAGTGTCAGCTCTCCTCCCCTCTGCTGACCAATGTCCTTGATCACTCTGTGCTCTCCACGCTGGTATCATCACCCAGATTGGTGAATGGCGGCTTTTCCTGATGCATGACTCCCACCTCATGGACAATCAGGGGCTAGCTGAGCTGCGGGTCTGTGTCCCAGGACTGCGTGGTTCCGAGTGGCCCAAAAGCTTCTGACTGGATCAGAACTGCTGGGTTCTCTTATTGATATGCCCAGGCCTCTGCGCCTTTGGTTTGTTTGCTGTTCCTTCCTGTCTGGCTGCTCTGGTATTTGTGACATGGGAGGCTGGCGTGGCTCCTACACTTGTGGCATTGCTGAGTACTGCTATCCTGACGTTTGTTCTTTTTGTGGCATGGGCTGTCACCCTGTGGCTAGGAGTCTGACACCCTGCTGTTTCTCTGTGAAGGCTTTGCAAAGCCTTTCACAGACGTTCCTGGATTAAGGCTCAGACCGGTGTGGGGAAGTAGAGACATGATACCCCATGTGCATGTGGAGAGACAGGGCCACAGACAGGGCAAGCGGCATGCCCCAGGTCACATTGCAGAGACTCCTACCACCATGAGCAGTGACCATTACCCTGCACAGCCTCCTTTTTTCTGTAAGGGATACACCTGTCAGTCTGATGGCCCTTCACCTCGAGATGTCAGGAGACAAAATGACGTTCTTTTTCAGGGATGGAGGCTATCAGTGTACTAGTGTCTCTGGTGGGAGTAAAACCTGGGAGGTCCCGATGCCGTCCCGTGCTCAGACGTGTTTCGTTTCCGTCTATCTAGCTAAACACTTTAAAAATTATGGTTGACCAGAAAACAAGGGTGCTCCCTTCTGTCCAGCCTTTCCCTTGCCTTGCAGCGATGTGATGTCAGCTGGATGGGAGCCAAGTAAAGCAACCATGTGTGTGAATGGAATGTGGTTCTGCACAGCTCTCTACCCTTTGCCACTGCCCATGTCAGTCCTGGGCCTGCCAGCAGTACTAAATCTTCTCCTGTGACTGCCCACACCAAAGGAACATGCTGATTTATGGCTCTTTTAAATAAGAGAAACAGAGTGTAAAATTAGAGCATTTTCTGGATGAAAAATTAAAGAGAAGCTTTTGTTAGCTCCTCATTCTAGGCTCATGCGTAATTCACCTTGTTGGTTATAAAGTTCCACTTGAAAGGAAACTTGATTTCAACAGAAGTTAAAGTACCGGGCTGAGACTCCCAGCACACTTAATTTCATATATGGAGAGGGCTCTAAATCAAAAGGGAACAGAGGAAAAAACCAGCAAAGAATTACCTGAACTAATGGTCTTTGGCTTTCGCCCTCTTGTGGACCTCAGAGCCCATTACAGGCAGCAATTAGCAGAACAGGGGCTTGGTGCCCTGTTGGGCCTGACAAAACAGGCATGATGCAGTTCAGAGCTGAGGAAACAGGCAAAGAAAGGTGCAGTGACTGGTCCCTGACGCCCAAGCCCCTGTTCTGCCTAGCAGCCAACACTGCCTCTTGGCTGGACACAAGACTCTGGTGTACGGGCAAGGAGTCAAGCAAAACGCTGAGAGGACCAGTTCTGGGCAGCAGAAAGGAATGCCCCTGCTGGAAGTTGAAGGACAAAGAGTCCCTTCCATTTCTGCCCGTAGTGGTGTGGCCTCCAAGGAGCCTGTTACTGCAGTGGCACAGACGGGCTGTGTGTGTGAATTAAAGGGAGAACACCCCATTAGCATTAACCCCAGGAGGAAGAATGTGTCACATGGTCTGTGATGCAGCCAGAAATAGTCTAGAGCTTCTGACGTAACTTAACATTGGGGGCTTTTTGGGCTCCTCTGTCAATTCTGCTGGGGTGAACATTTCTTTCTGGTCTGGTTTGCGTTGATGGGAATGGTAAGCTTGACCGTCCGCCGCACAGTGACTCTAAATCTGTGTTGTGATGCTCCCACCATGGAACATACAGATTTACCTAGTGAGTTGAGGCCGTCGGGATTAATTTGGCTGAACCTCTCTGCAGCCTTTGGCAATGGAGCAGAATGCATGGGTTTGACTTTTGTAGGGCTCAGCCCAGTTCTGGTGCATCTCCAACATCTAAGCGCATCCTGCAGTTGTTTGTATGAGGCTATTACAGCGGTGGGCAATCTGCAGCCCATCAGGGTTCTGAGTGTGGCCTGTGAGACATTTTGTTTACTGTTGCCAGTTCTACGTTGTTTTTTCCTACCAGTATTACTGAAGTGACATATATGGACAGCAAGGGCCGTGAAGTGAGGTGCATGCTGATTGCACACCTCATTGAATATCGGAGCCGTGTGCCCCTTTGGCATCCACTCTAAGGACCACTACGCTTCGATGGGCACACCTGCAAATTCTAGAGACACAAGCACATTTAGCAAAACTACCTTCTCCTGGGACACTGTCTTGGTCACGACAATCTCATGGCCCACTGACATGAAGGAGGGCCAGGGGCACACCTGCAAATTCTAGAGACACAAGCACATTTAGCAAAACTACCTTCTCCTGGGACACTGTCTTGGTCACGACAATCTCATGGCCCACTGACATGAAGGAGGGCCAGTCATGTGACCCACTCACTAGCCTAGGTTGCCCAGCGCTGTGCTATTCTCTCTTGACTTGGGCTGCAGTTTGTGCCAGAGTCCAGCCTGTCTTTGGCTGTCTTGCTTGCACTGTGTTTAGTGCAATATATTCTCCATGGCCTAGGAGACGGGGCATGAAGATGAGCATTTCCAATGTTTGTGTTCTCTTGTTCGTATTCTGTGGTTTTCAGTAGTTTGTTTTCTGCATTGTGGAAGGGCCCCAAGCAATGCCAAGCTGTTGAAGGGATCTTTCGGAAAAGGCTTTATTTTCCAAAAGATCCACGTCTAGACTCGCGCTTTTTTCCAGCAAAGCTCCAAGCCGGAAAAAAGTGGCAGCCATTTTTATGCAAATGAAGCGAGGGGATTTAAATCCCCGCTTCATTTGCAAGTGCAATGTGTCTAATTTGCATCCCTTTTACGGAAAAGGGATGCAGTCTAGACACAGCCCCTCAGTTATAAGTGACCCCCCCACACATCACATCACTACTGAAATGCAGCCACCTCTGGGGTAGGGAACAGCAGCTAACAAGGTTATAGCAAGCAGCACAACAGCACTGTCAGCCAGCTGCATGATTTGGGCTTCGTTAGAAGCTGGAACAGACAACCTTCAATCTGCCACCACCACTCTGGAGAAGGGAATCTCTGCCAAGATGGGCTAGTGGAAGATTGCAAATTATGTTCACCAAACACCACATGCTCAGAGGCAAGAACCTGGCCCTCTGCCTCAGCTGAAAGGCAGACAAGGAATGTGTCCTGGCCAGGGAGACAGAAATAGTTAGGAACCAGGTCAGAGATAAATCTTGCTTGGTCCTTGCTGAGCCCGTGGAAGGTGGCTGCCTCAAATTAAAGCATGCTACAGACTCACAGCAGGATTTAGAATATGGGACTTGCGGAATATGTGATTGGACATCCACATTCTGGTTTCTATACAAGGAATAGGGCTCCCTTCACTACACAGGGGTGCACTGCCTGGGCTCACGGCCTGTACCTCTCTCTCTTGTTGGGTGGCCCCAGCAGCTTGGAGAAGCAGAGTCTGTATAAGCCTATCAGTGTGTCCTTCTCTATGGCCTCAAAATACTTTAACATCCAAATTAAGCCTTATACCTCTGCTGGTAAATGGGACTCATCCCCATTGCACACACATTGGCTGCGTCTAGACTGGCAAGTTTTTCTGCAAAAGCAGTTGCTTTTGCGGAAAAACTTGCCAGCTGTCTATACTGGCCGCTTGAATTTGCGCAAGAACACTGACGATCTGATGTAAGATTGTTAGCGTTCTTGCGCAAATACTATGCTGCTCCCGTTCGGGAAAAAGCCCTCTTGCACAAATGTAGACAGCTCAGGACTGCTTTGCGCAAAAAAGCCCCGATGGCGAAAATGGCGATCGGGGCTTTCTTGCGCAAAACCGCATCTAGATTGGCACAGATGCTTTTCCACAAAAAGTGCTTTTGCGCAAAAGCGTCTGTGTCAATCTAACGGAAAAACTTTTCTGTTAAAAGCATTTGCAGAAAATCATGCCAGTCTAGATGTAGCCATTGATCACCACCAAAGACTCTCGCAAGTTTGGAAATCAAACCAGAAGTGCTGGGAATTGAACCCAGAAGTCCCAATGCCCCATACTCTGCCCTAGCGGTGTTTCTTGTACAGCTGTGTCTGCTTTGGGAATGCTCAAGATGGCTCTCCTTGCAGAGCAAGGTGCTCAAAGGATTCACAAAGCCAAACCTCTTGTCCTTAATTCATCTCTCTCATGAGAACAATCCACTATGTTTTGTGTCATTTTCATTCCCCTACATTGTCTGCAATTTTAAAATTACCCATACTCTGCCCTAGCGGTGTTTCTTGTACAGCTGTGTCTGCTTTGGGAATGCTCAAGATGGCTCTCCTTGCAGAGCAAGGTGCTCAAAGGATTCACAAAGCCAAACCTCTTGTCCTTAATTCATCTCTCTCATGAGAACAATCCACTATGTTTTGTGTCATTTTCATTCCCCTACATTGTCTGCAATTTTAAAATTACCT